GCAGCCAACAGACATCTGTCCGGCTCCGGTCTACTCGCACTCTCAGTGCTTTCTGTCCATATGCTCGCAGCATTGTTTGTCTTCGTGCACACAGCACTTACAGTCCCCTCAGGGCCCTTTGCCTTTCTGGCTCTCTCAGTAGCCTCAAACTCCTCTTGTTCCAACTGCGTCAGTACAGCTGGTTGCTCAACAGTTCCTGTATCTACAATGCCCATGTCCCGAGCGGAATTATTAACACCGGCGCTCTCCGGCGGTACAACTTGATTTTCGGCCGTTCCGGCCACAACTGATATTTCTGCCCCTACCGGGCTCTGTTCTGGTTGGGCTTCCCCCACTGCATCTGGTTGATCCTTGAGCCATCCCGTGGCCTCCTCTGATCCCTCATAATCATACCAATTGATTGACGCCTCCCCCAGTTCCTGGTCGTCGAGAAATTGCAGGTTGGCAAGGTCCTCCTCGACGGCTGTCAGCTCATCTGTCCATAGCCCAGATCCATCCCCCCGGATCATGCATAGTTCTCCTGTCTCTGGAAATTCTACGCTTAGCCCAGTTCGGCTCGTTGATAGGATATACTTGCTTGGATCATAGGCTCCCCCAGCAAAACTCTGTCCAGTCCCAGATTCAACAATCTCATTCTTTCCCAAAATCTGCCCCGCCATGTCTTCGTCGTTCACCACCATCGGTTCCGGTTGGGTTTTGGAGATGCCCACCATGCACAAGAAGTCAGTGCAATCAGGGAGGAGCACCTCCGGCTTGGGTAGGTGGGTGGATGTAATATAGATGCTAGGATCGTAGGATGCGACCCCAGTCTGGATGAAGTTAATTCTTTTGAGAGGAGGAGCTTGATTATGTGGTGGGAGAGGGTTGGTTGTAACGTTAGGTTTATCAGGGGGCGCGATCACCTGTTTGTCAATAAGATCTTGAATCTCATGACACAATCTGTAACAACGGTCGGTGTCATGACCGTGTTGTTGGTGGTATGCGCAGTACCTTGACGGGTCGTAAGAGGGGGGGAGTGGATTCGGTAATGGCTTTGGTTCCAGGGGTTTTAAATGATTTTTCCTGATCAATATTCCCAGAACTTTGGTCAGAGGCATATATAGTGGAGTAAAGGTTCTTTGGCCTCGGGGTTGGAATCGGCTGTTTTGTGAGTTGCTTCCGGATGCGTCGGAGAATGGTGTGGCAGTCGTGGGCCTTGGAGGGGGAGGGGGAGTGGTGGTGACCATACTAACTTCCGAGGCTCTTGTATTTGCAACGCCGCTCGGGCCTGCATTGTTGTTGCGGTTGAAGGTCCTCCTCGGTTGTTCTCTGTCCTGGTCAAACAGACCTTGTCTCATAGCATCTTCTATTTGCACCCCCATATCATGTAAATCTGCGAAAGTAGGGAAGGGGACCACAATCATCCTTTGCATTAGCTTCGGGTGGAGATTGCGCACAATCATCCAAATTTGATCTCTATCAGTGGGCCTTAGAGTCATCGTTGACGCCTTTGCCCTCCATCGGATCACAAAGTCCGAGAAAGATTCCTTAGGCTCTGGCCTTGTCGTTTCTAGATCACGGGTTGTGATCTCGATCTGAGTATTATAGGAATATTGTGTGACAAAGGCCTCAGCCATCTCAT